CCTCCAACCGATTCAGCAGTTTTTGGAGAACCCACAAATTAGTGATTCTTACCCAAAACATCAAATCATTGACGTATAAGAGATAGGAGTGTGTTTTGAAAATTGAGATCCAGTGAACATTACGACTATAGTGTTTCATACACTATAGAACCAATCCATAGCGTTAAATAGAACATCGAGAGTGATCATTTGCATGCGTTGACGTAGAGGGACACTTAACCCTGGAAACTGCTATTTGTGATGAAACTGAGAAAAAAAGTCTGAAATTTTTCCTTCCTATATACAGAAAAACCTGCTGTTTGTGCCTTTGTTGAAGTGGTGCATTCATGATCTTCAGAATTCATTTTATACAACTAGTTCCGAAATCAGACTTCTTATCCAACACCTAGCCTCTGCAACCACTCCCGAGTCTGTCTCGATGTCTATCCACCTCTAAATCTGTGCGTAGGTAGGTGCATCCGTCTGTCTGTCTACCTGCCAGTCTGCATGTCTTTATAGATGTCTGTTTGTCTGCCTGCTTGTTTGCTCATTTTTATGTCTCTTGGTCAGGTTACCTGTTTGTCCGTATGCATGCATGTACGTTTGTTTGTATGTCTATGCATCTGTCCGTCTATGGTATCATAAAGATGATTTTAGACGAAGTGTGAAAGACGCACTCTACCAGGAAAACCAACAAATATTCCCTTAAAACTCATTTTCCCCGCCCGTTCTTGAGCAAACAAAAATAAAGGGAAAGAGATGCAGGAGAAAACCAGTTTCGAAAACGGAGACAACAAAAAAAGGAAGAAAAAGTGTAAGAGGAGGAGATAGACATTTGGAAACAAGATGCAGTACGACAAACATTGCTATAGGTTAAGAAACGACGAGGAATGAGGAAATCGCGTAAAGGGAGTAAGAGAGTGAAAATGAGAGAATTCAAGAAACAATGAGGGTGGAAAGAACAGAATTATCCCTAGAATTAACTTTGTTGCATCTTTGAGATCGACTATGACACATTTTGTCTACTTTAACCCGATAACAATTTCTGATTTCGCAGTTGGAAGAAAGGATTTGCTACCATTATTCTGCCGAAATACCCATCCTCTGCAAACTTCTACATGGTTATCTGTCAAAGTCACATTTTTCATCAACAATATCTTTTCCATTTTTCTCTGATAAAGAAATCAGTATTTTCCCGTGGAGGAATTTATCACTAATATCAACTTTTAACTGAGAAACAACACCAACAGTATGAAGGGCTGGGTAGTCCAATCCAATTAACAAACGCTCAACGCTCTCACCATCACATATTGTATTTACAATGTACCATTCACTTACGTTGTTATTGATTTTCTCGCTACTGTTCCAACAGCTGTTGTTGTGTTTCTCGAATGAGAACATATTATCAGTTGTGGAGCCAAAACTGAAGCTTTGCTAAAAATAAATCTGCCCTTGTAAAGATAACTAATCGTCCAAGATAAGGAAGAATTGCTACTATAGCCATTTTGGCCGCTTAACTATAGCATAGATTGTTTCCTTACAAGAATGCTCAACTGTTTTTCTTGGGAAGTAAATAACGATAGTTTACACTCATATATTTGAACTTTTGGAGCTTTTAAGGATAAAATCGATTAAAAAACAGTAGTCAAATGCTTGGAAACCTATAAATGGTATAAAATATAGTGTTGCCAACCAGAAATTAAATGAGCGTTATTTTAATGCAGGTAAACAAAAGAGGCCACGCCCACTGCTCCACACCATCGTGACGGTTTTCATAGGATTCCGAAAAAAAATTGTGGCTCGAATTGATGGAAACGTACGAAGAATTATTTAGCATTGTATTTTATTTTGACCTATTCAACGTGATAAAACTATTTCCATTCATGTTTTCTTAATGAGAGAAAGGTAAAGCAAGGGGATCAGTGGTGAAGTGGGTAACACACGAACCTACGAAAAGGGTAATCGCGAGTTCGAGGCTGGCCTGGGGTCTGAGTTTTAAAAATATCTCAGTAATACTGTGGTTGTATTTTAAATAATACCTCGCCATAAAAAAATAATAGGCAATAGATAAAAAGTTATATATTTCCGTTCTGTTCCCAATAGAACGCGGTACTTACATCCGTAGCGTTTAAGTCTTATAAAATTAAAGCGCAAGATGAAGTAGAGATTTGAAAATAGGATAGATGAAGCGCGCAGAAAAAGAAGATATCTGAAAAGATTCATTTCTACAAAATGCGGTAGAATGAATGATCAGTTAAAACGACCAAAATATCCCGGTTATTGACCGTACCGTCCAAGCTGGGATAGGTCTCACGTCAAGCAGAAGAAAAATTTGGGTTTCTCGGCAATAAAAATATCGACTAATTTTCGACTTACTGTTTTAATTTTACTTGACCATTCATAAAAATTACGAAAGCTTGTATTTCACACAGTTGAAATCCCCATTACTGAAAAAACCGCTTCGCCTGAGTACTACTGAATAATAAGGTTACAACCAGTATATGTACATAAATAAGTGAGCTCTTCACTTGGATTTACTACTACCCATTATTTGAATAAAGTCGTTCCCGCGTCGACACGATCTAGTGCACTTTATGTTTTGTATCGTACTCGTCTGTCAGAATGATCAATGGTTCTGAATGCAAACACCACTATCTCTGTGACAAACGCACTCAGAGGGGATCGAGTATCACCACCAAAAAGATGACGATAGTGATGGGAAACTGCGAATGAGAAAAAACAGATATGAAAGAAAGAAGCTCTTCGAGAAAAGAGTTATGTCAAACTCTACAGTTCAAGAGTTCTGGGTTCTACATGCTACTCTGTGCCATCTAAAATCTCCCAAATTTCTAACTTCTTTTTTATAGCTTCCTATGCTTACTGAGTTGCGCGACAAAGCTGCTGGATTCGACTATACTAGAACTGTGCGCTTAGCTGTACCTCAGCAAAATCTGCAGATATTAAGCTACTCAGTCATAAATTTTATTTATAAATTTTTTTACGCCCATAGATTATAGAACTTTCCGATTTCAAATAGTAATGAAAATGATAACTCTTTCAGAAAATTCGCAACACATAGCTGTTCTTTGAGATAGGATATGGAATCAGAAAGGCCGTACCGTAGCCACAATACTGTAGAGTTATCACTTTATCAGAATTTATGATTTTAAGTCTAACAAACTTGTTCCGGTGTATTCAACACCGCTGGTGGTGGCGTGTCGAGTTGTGGCGGTGAGAAACGACCGGGATCATAAACAGGAGCCGCAGCCGTCGTTGTGTCCAGGCATCGTTGCTGAACGAACAAATCAATACACAAATAATACATTGTTTTACAAGACTAGTATTGCTTATTATAACACTTTACTAATATTATAAAACTAAGGAAACAATGAGCTTAGTAGATCGATAATGAAGGGGCGTTCTTCTATTCCAACAAATGAGTTCAGCTAATATCGTTAAAATCACAATGTTTGTCAAGTTGTCATACTGTGAATGGAATAAAACACAAGATACAATAGCAACCGAAAAAAGGTAGCGTAAAGTTTTGAAAAATACTGCAATTTTTCGAAAATATTTTCGATAGAACGACAACGATGCTGAGCTATTTGCAAAACTCCGGACCGCAAGTGTCTGCGGTGGGGAACGAACCCACTTTTACCCTTTCCTGAGGCTTACGCGTTCACCACCACACCATGCAGGTCTTTCGTTTCGCCTGTCTCTTAGATCAGAAAGAGATCGATAGAACTAGCTGAGAGACAGACAAAACGAAGGACCTGCATGGTGTGGTGGTGAACGCGTTAGCCCTCGGAAAGAGTGGTAGCGCGTTCGTTCCTCACTGCAAACACCTGCTGTCTGGTGTTTTGCAAATATCTCAGCATCGTTAGAGTTGTATTTCGCATAATACTCTACCGTAAAAATGGTAGTAGAAAAAAATAAAGAAGTAAATTTTATCGATATACTCTATTGAAGTAACAAAAAAGGTTTTTAATCAAAACACTGCCTTCTGAACCTGCTGACAACACCGACAACGATAATCCCACATTGTTTCATGACTCTTTGACACTTTATATTCTTTTTACACTTAAAACAGGCAGGAAAGCATTCCAGTTTGCTGATGGATGCTGTGCCAGATTTGTCCAGCCGTAAATATATTCGCCTAGTGAAAATATATGCGCCCTCTACAACGATTCGTGCGGCCAGAAAATAAGAAACTTTTTATTACCTAGAAGGGAACAGGCAGCGCGGTGGTTGTGATCCAGTTCATTACGAGGACGATCCAACCTACCCAAACAACTTGACACTGCATATGGATCCACTAAGTCTCTCATCCTTCCGGGGCCATTGGAAAAACTTAGTCTCTTCAATCCATGCGAGAACGCCTTAGTACAGATATCCAAGGATTCCAGAGAATTGATCGGCTATCAAGGATGTTCGTAACAAAGTCGAAGAAGTCCTTAAGCAGCAGTTAAACTCAAAAGCAAAAAAGTTCAAAGGCCTTCGTGAATAACGGATACAAGGAGACAAACAGAGCGCAGGAAATGGTGTGACGGTGAAGTGTGATAAATGTAATGTTGCGTCATGTAGTGATGATAATAAAAGTTTCCAGGATCGACTTTCTATTAACCTCGGCATTGGAATATGAATGCGTCGTTTTCTTGTTCAGCAACCGCGAGGTTTTTAAACAGCATACATTTACTTCCATAGAAAAACACAATACAATACAACGCCAGCTGACGTTTCGGCAGTATCGTCTTCCACAGAGCCTGGAAGGGTATACTGATATGCAATCTACTAGCCCAAACGCTTCAATAATACTTATAAAAAGACGAAAAACTCCATGGCAATTGCATGATCAACAGCTTGTCGAAACACTCACCGCTTTTTACGTGACGTCCAATGAGGAGGTTTAGAACAGCTGATTATAGTCGCATATCGTTGACGACTGCACCACCCAGCACTAGAAATTGATGCGAAGGTACGGGCCAAGTCGCGTGTCGTCTCCGGAAATTTCTCCCTGCTATTCATTGTTGGGTTTTGGCATTTATCCAAAAAGCCTCAAAAAGTTTTCGCGCTGGTGTTTTAGTCTCCTGTGCAGGGATATTGACTTTTACTTCAAAATCGTCCCCGCTATGCTTTTGTATCCTATGCGTGCCTAGTGGGGTACCTTTTTTGAAACTAAAATGTTGATTGGACAACTTGATCAACTTTGCCACTATTGGGGATACGACAACCGATCGACCAAGAAATCCTTTACTGGTGTAAGCCTATGAAACGCAGCTAGACCTAAAGACCTAAGCATAACGATGGGAACTGCACTAGTTCGATACAGACGGTTCAACCAATCACATGAGACCATTACAGGAATATTATGCCTTTGTGCTTACGTATCGTAATCTCTCAGATACGTCAATGCACCGGGATCGGCTCCATCTAATGCAGCCCGAGCTAGTATGCGATTCAGTACAGCAACATCATTCCAGCCAAGATTCACACCCTGACCACCTAAAGGATGAGTGCGATGAGCTGCATCTCCAATTAAAGCACAGCGAAGGCCTACATATATGTGAGAGTGTGCAAAACCCAAAGGAAATGCAACACGACTATCTCCTTGCAGAGCGATCACGTGGGGAGGCTAGGGTGTTGGAGCGGGGTTTTTTTGCAACGAATGGAATTTTAGAAAAAGCAAACAGTGTTTTTTTGACGCAGTCGATCTGGTCTTTCTCAGTAAACATGCAGTAGTTGAGTTCATCGACAAATTCATCCTTCGTCAATGCAATCAATCGCTCCGCTTCCTCAGCTGACGTACACCAAACAAGGGAAGAAAGATTTTTAGCCAAAGGCAGGTATGCTATTGGACCTGCACGAAAAAA